GCAGCTGGTAGATTTCTGAGGGTTTGGAGGAATTTCTGCGAAGAAGTTTTGAAGCGAGATGCAGCATAGAAGGTAGTGCTCCGTTCCTCCGTTTCGATCTTCGATTTTCGATCTTCAGAACTCAGAAGTGGGAAAGTAGTGTTTTTCTTGATAAATGAATTGCCTTCCAATTTCAAATCATGATTAAGTTATCAGAAAATTTTACTTAAAAGAACACAATTGCAGAAGTACATAGATGGAGAAGTGAGCTTGAAAATCACAGCCATTAAAGCATGATTGGCTTAACATCATACTAGGACAAATCAGGAAAGAAACTGAATGGATAAATCAAACAAAATTAACCTTAAGCAAATTGGTTGAAGCATTTATCCTAACTTTCAAATTTCAGTTAGTATTTGGTTCACTCCATCATATCATTTTAGAAGAAGCGATAGGAAAACACGTTGCGTATATAAGTTTTGACAAAATGACTCCCAGCAAGGACCTGCACCTAATCTTCTGAAAATCTAACAAGATGAGACTAAATTTAGTTAATGAGTTCTTTGCTGGTAAAGATAGTAGTCAATGAGACACCACCATAATGGAAAATGATTAAATGACAATGGAAGATCCACAAAAGAATCAATAATTGTCACAATCTATTATGAAATGAGCTGCACATCATTTTGCAAACTGACCTAAGAAGGCTGAGTGCTGAGATTACTGCATCAGCTCCAATAGTGACTGTCAACATTAACTGCTCAACAATAAAAGCAAGCTGGATTCAAATAACAGAATAACTTAAGAAAGTTTCCATTATTCATTAGTTAAGAAAGAGCAAGCAGCATTGCAAGAAATGAACCACAAACAAGTAGGAAGAAATGCAAAATGAAACAAGGGAAAGAAATCTTTTATATGTTTAAACTGTTTTGTTTCAGACATTCTGATCTCATTAGGAACAAACATTTTATTTCAATCTTCGCAAGCAGAAAACAATTATCTGATTTTTGAGTTTACACAATACACAACATAACATCCAGTTAGGTAATTAAGCAAAAATCATTCATTTATCCAACACTTATTCACCCACTAAGTAATTCATATTTTCTATATTTTTGGTAACCCTACTTATACACATAATTTTTTCAAAGAAATTATCACATGTTAACACAATGACGGGATCCGACCTACCCCATCCAACAGATTTAGTTATGCAATCCGATACTGCACAACTCTCAATCACAACATAATACAAGAGTTTAAAATCCAAAAATGAAAACACAAAAATAAATAAATTAATTAATAAATTCCAGTTTCTTACCTGTCTATGAATCAGATCACCAGCCAAAGAATATGTGCCGACAGCCACTACCCTAATCTCGTCAAAATCCAGCAACTAGACGACAGGTTGGCGATGTCAAGAGAGTGGGTGTCCAAAGCGCAAAGGACCGTCAACCATCCTGACCAGATGCGTCATCGCTCAGCCCCTCACAGGCGATACAATTGCAATTTTGCAACCCACATCCTTCGGATGCGTCCGCTTCCGGCATTAATTCTTTTAATTTCTCAAAAGGAAGAAGATAACAGGCCCACATATTAAAAAAGGGGGAAAAAAAATCTTTTCTTTCGTTAAAACGCACCGTTAAAACAAAAGGAATGGAAGAAAGCTTGGTAAAGTCTTAACATTAAAAACATCCAGTTTATAGCCAAAATTTTCAATAAACATTGAACATGAAATAATAATAATTAACATAAAAAGGAAATAACAATCACATAAAGAAAGAGCAACTGCCTGTAGCTTATGCTGTCAACTAATTAAACTTATGCACACATTATTTTTGTCAGATCTTCTT